TACAGATGAGGAAACTGAAATATTGAGAGGTTAGTAGCTATTACGCAGCAGAGCCAACATCTGAACCCATATCTTCTGACTTCACATGCAACATAAATTCCATTGACTCACACTGTCCTAATCTAGGAAAATACACAACCTTTCTACAGATGTCAAAAGGTCAGTTACATGCTATCACACTACATACCCCATGTGCATGCAGTCCTTCCCACAAGATTCCTTCCCCAAAAGAGCCTAGAAAGTGCTCAGAAAATGTCAGACTCAGACAAATGACCAAATTTCGTTACCACTGTTACTCTTCCAGTCTTGTACAGCTGCTGTGAGGCAGGGACATGAAGACCCAGCTTCTAGTGCCCAGCACTCTTTCTTTCAATCAGGGCTCAATGAAGTTAAGGCTGAGCAGCTCCACATTTGCCCAGGCTCTTAGCATCTCAATTCATTGTCTTTCCCTCCCATTTCACACACCAAATGTTCTTCTCCTCTCCGTTACTCTACTCACTTTCTAAACTCCTATCATCACTCACTCCTTTACTATTTCCATGTTCCCTTTGTCAAAGAGGAACAACTTTCAGACTCCCAAGAACTTCACACTAATGCTAGTTCTTCTTTTACCATACCTACATTACTTTCCAACCTCCAAAAATATCAACAGTAGCTCTAAAGTCTCTAAATAAAACCATGGAATAAGTAGAAGCTGTGGGTTGTGGTATGTCCCGAACCCACACACTGGCAGCCTTGAGACATAGCTATTTCTACTTGCTAATAACTTGACAACTGACTGCTCTTTATTCAAGGCTGGTATTGGAAGAGAGCTTCATTGTTAGGACACTTTAAGTACCAGGAATAAAGAGAGACACAGTCCTTAGCCTTTGGAGGCTAGTTGGAGAGACAGGATGTGTACCTAAAAGCATAAACAGAAATGCTAGATGGCATGTGCCAAGTTTCAAGTGAATACTACAAATGACAGACTAAACCATTGGATATCTCACTACATATGTCCTGGCAAGTTTTCCTCCTAAATGAAATAATTCACTAATAATTCACTATTCACTAATTATTCACTCTGGTTGAGTGCCCCATTTATCTCTAGTGAAGCAAAAATTCAAGTTCATCTAGTGCTCCTTTTTGCCAGGGAAAAATGGGGCAGAACATTCTCATCTTTGATAATTTAAACTTAGTCAATGAGGAAAATGTCTATGGCTGTAAGATGTGGTGGTTGTTGGGTGATCCAAGATGTTGAGCTTCTCAGTGGAGAACACCAAACACTGAGTTCAGTTAGCTTGATCTGGAAGTAAGGGTGCCTAAGTTTAGACAACATCATGGCCATCTCTACCCTGGGAAGCTCATGTAAAGTCTCTAAGGCTCTTCTGGAACTGAATCAGCAGGGTACCCTCGTGATAGTCCTGGTCCTAAGTGACTTCAAGACTTACTAAGGTTGGGATTTTGGCATCAGCTGAGATTTAGAAGCCCCTGTATAAGAATCATGCCTGTGTGGCTAATTTGTCCTGACTGTAGGTGTCCCAAGCCTATTGCTGGCAGATTAGCTCTATTAAATTTGATTGAGGTTTAGTAACTACAAATCTTAGATTCTGGAGAAGAGCCAAATTTAGGTTTCTACAACAGTATATCTATCCACAGTTAGCAATGTCTGGGAATGTATGCTGTCCACTTCCAGAGAAAGAACTGATGGAGTCTGAATGCCAATTGAAGCATACTATTTTTCACTTTTTTTTTGTTTGAGTTTTCTTCCACAAAATGACTAATGTGGAAATATATTACATGATTGTACATGTATAACCTATATCAGATTGTTTACCATCTCAAAGAGGGAGAAAGGGGGAGGGAAGGAAAGAATTTGGAACTTAAAATTTTTAAAAATGCATGTTGAAAATTGTTTTTGCATGTAATTGAGGAAAAAAATAAAATGCTATTAAAAAAAATCAACCTGTCCAAAACTGAACTCATTATCTTTTCCCTAATTCTTTCCCCCTCCCCTTGCCTCCAGACTTCTGTATTACTGTCAAAGGCATCACCATATTCCCAGTTATTCAGGCTCATAACCTAGTTGTCATCCTCGACTCCTCACTGTCTTTCACCCCCCATATTTAATCTGTTACCAAGGCCTGTCAGTTTTACCTTTCTGACATCTCTCACATATGCCTTCTTATCTCCTCTGAAATGGCCACCATCTGGATACAGGCTCTCATCACCGCATACTTGGACTGCAATAGCCTGGTGGTTGGTCTTCTGCAGCAAGTCTCTCCCTACTCCACTTCATCCTCCACTCAGTTGTCAAAAGTGATCTTTCTAAAGCACAGCCCTGACCATGTCACTCCTTCATTCGATAAACTCTACTGGGTCTGTGTCACCCCTAAGACCAAATATAAAGTTATCTGTGTTCAAAGCCCTTTATCACCTGCCCACCCTCACCTTTCCAGTCTTCTTATACCTTACCCCCCCCCATATATTCTGGGATCCAGTGACAATGAGCCTTCCTGCTGCTCTTTGGAACAAGACATTCCACTTTCCTACTCTGCATTTTCACTGTCTGCCCCCATGCATGGAATGCCCTCCTTCTTCATCTCTTCCCCCAGCTTCTCTGACTTCCTTCAATTGCTAGCCAAAATCCTACTTTCTATAGTAAACCTTTTATGATCCCTTCAAATTCTAGTATCTTTCTTTTGCTGATTATTTCCAGTTTATCCTGCAGATAATTTGTTTGTACATAGTTATTTGCATATTCTTTCTAGATTGTCAATTGCTTGAGAGCAAGGATTGTCTTTTGCTTCTTTTTTGTATCCCAAGCACTTATCACAGTGCCTGGCAATACCAATCTCCTTCCCTTTCTACACCTCACCTGCCACCCCCCCCCCCATTTCTATTATAATCCATGCGTCCTTTAACATCCAGGTCAAAATCCATGTCCTTCATGAAATCTGTGATTGCTCAAGTCAGAACTAATTTCTCTCCCCTTCTAGAGTATCTTACTAATAGCACTCTTACAGCACTTACAATTTACTTCCTTGTGTTGTAGTTAATAGACTGAGGTAGAGCTCTGTCCTGACAGTAAGCAGTTTAAGACCAGGTCTTTTGTATGTCTGTGTTTCCAGAAGAGGGCAGCAGAGGTCTCCCTCGAGGTGACGCGCCCAGTTGTGGTGTCTCCAGGGACAGCACAAGCACACATCTAAGGCAAGCAGAGTAACAATTCAGCAAAACCAGCACGGATGAGCAGAAGAGCAGGTCTTCTTAGCAGGGTTAGAGGCAATGCAGGCAAATGTGTAGAAGCTGGAGGTAAATTACAGTCTGACTGGAATATACCCAGAGCATCTTTTGACTTCTTGTGCAGCACCGGTAATCCCACCTACTTTGGTTGTTAAACCAACGATATCTTACTGACCCTTAATAGCTTGTTGGAAACTTGACAGTAGTTATTTATGTATTGTTTATTTTCCTTTAAAACTAGGGGTTGTGTATTACTCACTTTTGCATTCCCTATAGTACTTTATAGCCATAAATGTTGAATGGGTGATAGATGACCAAATACGAGTGAATGTTCAAAAGCTGGCTTTGTCATTGATAACTTAACAGCTCTGTGTGGTATTTTCACTGTAATCTGACCCTCTGCTCCTGAAACTAGATGAGGCAGAAACTTCCCAATATCCACTCTTATATTTTCCCCCCCTATTTTTGGAACCATGTCTTAGGGAAAACTACCAGATGCAGAAAGCACATGTTTCATGATCGTGGAACTCTTAGTGAGTTTGGAATTTAACTGAAAACCATTCTTCTGTGAAAACCCTCTGTTCTGTGACCAGTTCTTGTGTTATGAGATAGATACTAAGTTGAGGTCAAGATATAAACTGGCTGACAGAGATGCTGGGGATCGATAATATGCTGTAGGGCTCCCAAGTCAGAAACAGGATAAGGATGCACTGAACAATCAGACCATGAGGCTAATTTTGATTTGTGTACACGGAAAAACTTTCTAATAATTATAGCTGTTCAGTAATGAAATGGGCTGCCTGGTTAAATTATGAGTTCCTAAGTCAGAGGAAGGTTTGAAGGAGATATTCTGTAGAAGGAATTTCTTCATTAGATAGTAGGTTGGACGAGACCTTCTAATTCCAAGGTTGACTGTGTTTGTAACCAGAAAAAGAAGACAGGTTGAAATATCCTGGACGTAGGCTTAGGATAGAAGCATCCAGAATTAAGATAAGTCAATTAGTCTTGTTTTCTCAGCTAAATTACCACCTATGCGAAGACAAAGTGAACAGCCACTTCCCCATGATTATCCTCTTCTATCATGCCACTGCCTTCTAACAGTTACCTCTTAGGCCTCCTTCTGAGAAATGGCCCTGAGTTTTCTCTTACCTTTTACATCTGTGTTCAGTGTCTCCTTCAGAGAATATCCCAGGTTACCAGTACTAAATGACTTGAGGAGCATCTCAGGACTGATTGCCTCTCATGGTTCTGCTGGCTAGGCCAGGGTAGTCCTATACCATTCTGTCTGCATAGTGCCACACTTCACAAGTAAAGATGACCTACCATCAGTAGGGTATGAACTGGATGTGAGTTGTATCTCTAGCAAGACAGTGGAAATAAGCTTCCTAGAGCCATCTACACTCTCTCCTGGTTCACCTTATAAATAAAGGTACACATTCATAGGATGGCCAGATAAGACTGGGGTAGAATGTGAACAGAATGAAGTAAAGCATAAAACTGTATACCTGTCAACTATACAAGATAGGTTAAATTCTAGGACCTCAAGTAGAACTTAGAAAAGTATCTTTCAATACTAGCACCCCAGAAATGCCCTTATCATGTCCCTGTGGTGAGTGGCTTTTGGTGACAGTGGTTTCATTGCAATGGCCCAGCATGATCCTTTATCCCTGATTCTGGCAGTGAAAGGAGAAACCCCCCTGAAATGAAGACATTCAGGAGACAGTCTGGGAATGCCAAAGCAAGGGGTTTTGAATCTTTTTGTTTTTGATAATTTACAGGTTTTCCTGTCCTTAGTTGGCATGTGTTCCATCCTGGCAATTGGGCATGGAATTTGGCAGACCCAGAATGGTTATTACTTGCAGATGTATCTGCCTTGGGAAGAGGCACTCAGCTCCCCAGGTGTTTCTACCTTCCTCATATTCTGGTCATACATCATCATTCTCAATACTGTGGTGCCAATTTCACTCTATGTCAGGTATGTGTGTCTCCCTGCTTCTTGCTTACTCTGGGGGAAGGAAAAAAGTTAGACTGTAGTAAAGTAACTACTCTCATACTTTCTACTTTGGGAAAAAGACTACAGAACTGGCATTTATTGCTCAGTGAAAGCCCAGGGGTTCTGCTCTGGTTCTCAGAAACTGACTACCCATAAGAGCCTTATCTATTCAATAGAGAAGGGATACATACCCCAGTTTTTCCTGAAGAATTATCCAGAAAAATACCTGAAATTTTCAATAAAAATGCATTCCCCTCCTTCCCATGCAGATGATAAGAATGCCCCACCTTCATCTGACATTCCTAGCTAAAAGCAATGAATTTTCAGATTTCTTTCTCATGATGCTTCCTGTCTACCTAATAAATGTTTACTGAATGTTAATTGACTACCCATTGCTTCTTGTACTAGAAAGAGAAAAAAAAAGTAACAGAGTGAGGACACACATTCAAAAACGTAATCTGCCTTAGACCTTGGAGGGCAACCTAGGACAGATTTGACTGATGGTCATTCTGTCCCTGTTATTCTGACTTCCACTATAGCCTTCCAGAAATTTCAAAGTTCCTCATATCAGTACCAGTTTCTTAAGGTATTGGTATCTTAAAAAGGAACTGACATCCAAGAAGTTGTACTTTCATATATATTATACTTACCACCCTAATGCAGACTCCACACTGCTACACCTTCCCCCGCCCCGCAATCTCTCATACAACTACTGCCAGTGTATAGCATAGATCTATGATCATGTCATTCCCCTGATCAAGAGCCTTCATTGGTTCCCCATTGATTAGGACAAAATCCTGTCTTTCTATCCAAAGACTTATTAGTAACCGGCCTAGTTTTCTGACTTCCACACTCCAGCATTTACCTCTCCAATGTGCATAGTCAGAGCTGGTTCTCAATTGTATTCTACATATATCATGCTCAGTCCCACTTCTGTACTGTAACTCATGCTGATTCTCTTGCTTAGATTAGCCTTCCTCTCCCTTTAAACCAACTTCCTCCTTGCCGGTCCAGATCCTATTAACATTCTTCACGGTACAGCTCAGTCCCCCTTCTCCAGGAAACTTTGTAAGCAATAGGAGCCCATTAAATGCTTTAGAGCTGGAGAGTGACATGATTAGTATTACTCATAAGGAATATTAATGTGGGAGCAGTATGCACAACAGACAAGAGAAGGAAGAGACTGTGGGCTATGAGACAAGTTAAGAGGATAAGTTATCCTCTTATAAGTACAGTTATCCCTTCTACATTATAGTTTTGCTATATTGCAAGTCGACATAAGAAATTAAATGGGAATTTTTTTGGAGTTTGTGGAAGCCACAAGTAACATGCAAAAGCCAGCAGATGACACAGAAAAAGTTTAGAAACTCAGAAATGCATAAAATATATGTTGGTACTGTAAGCACCTCATAAAAGAAAAAAAAATTAGACTTCTTCTCTGGTACAAAGGGAGGGCCAAAAAGTTTTATGCAGATTTTCCAAATTACAGTGCAGTGTGAAAGGATTAACTGCAGTCAGTTAGTCTGTAATGCTTCAGAAAGGCTGAATGGGTGAAACATCTTAGAATTAGAAGGAACATTGGAAATCTCTAGTCTAACCTCTTCCCACAGGGGAATCCATTCTATAACATCCCTGATGGTTTATCATTTAGTGACTTCAGCCACGCATAAGGATGGTCATACCTTAGATCTCTTTATCACCTATAATTGTGCCTTCTGTGATCCTGAATTTTAATTTCTCTTTGCTGATCATAATGCCCTATCCTTCTGTCTCTCCCTCTGATTCACTAAGCCTTTCCATGTCTCATTACTCTTCCCCACTCCCCTAGTTCATCAAGCCATCTCTTGCCTCACTTTCCCCCCCTTTACAGTTTTGGCCCTATTGTTTACTTATTTAATGATAGAATGTCTTCTCTGTATCTCTTGCTTTCTTGTCCTGCACCTCCATTCCCATCCTGTCACAGCCCTCAACTCTGAGTCACCCACATCATCTAGCTTCTCCATTGACTTCTTCCATTGGAAGCCGCTTTACAAGCATGTTTACCACCACAAATCCATGTTTTCTGATATCAATTGTGTCTTCATAACTTTATGATAGTCCTTTTATTCCCTGATCTTATCCTGTCTCCTTAAGCCCCCAACTACATCTTCTCTCACAGAGGATCTTGCCTTTGACTTTTCTGAGAAGAATAGATGCTATCTATTGAGAATTCCCAAATCTCCCTTATTCCACAATTCAAAACTCCTCTACATTGTTACTCAGCCTCTCCTCCTTTACTCCTATTTCTGAGAAAGTAGTTGTCCTTCTTTCCAAAGCCAGCCTCTGTGCATTTGTCTATTCCCACTTTCCCCCACTTTGTTCAAGAATTTCTCCACACCACCCCCCTTCTCATCTTTAACCTCTCCCTATCTACTGGCTCCTTTCCTGCTGCCTACACACATGCCCGTGTCTCTCTCATCCTTAAATAAATCTTCATTTGGTCTGCCTTCCCCTCAAGATATAATCCTATCTCTTCTCTCTTCATCTGTCCATGCTGCTTCCACTTCCTTACCATTCTATTGTGACCCCTCCTTCAAAGATTACAACTCTCTTAATTGTTTAACCTAGTGGTCTTTTCCCAAGCCTCATCCTTCATCTCTCTTCACCTTTCTGATATTACTGATCACACCCTCCTCCTAGATATTATTTCCTTCCTTGGCTCCTAGAGAGAGGTGTCATAGTAAGATGGATAAAGCATTGGACTTGGGGTTAGGAAGATCTGGATTTGAATCCCACTAAAGAAATTTACTGGGGGCTAGTCACAACCTTTCTGAGCCTCAGTTTCCTCAGCTATAAGGTAGAGATAATAATGTCACCTATCTCATAAGAATCTTGTGAGGATCAAATGAGATAATGTATACAAAAATATTTTATAAACATCAAAACATAATGTAAACACCAGTAATCACTATTTCATGACACCCTTCTCTTTTGGGCTGCTTCTTATCAGTATCTTTTGTTTATCATCCTCTTTCTTCATCACCACTTTTGTGTGCTTGTCCAGTCAGGCTTAGTCCTAGTGAATCCATTAGCTCCCGTGGTTTCAGCTGTCATCAGTATGCAAATGACTTCCAAATTGATATATCCAGTCCTAACTTCTCTCCTGAATTTCAGTCTTATGTTGTCACTCACCTGCTGGGCATCTATACCTGGATATTTCATCAACATCTCAAACTCAGAATGTACGAAACAAAACTCAGTATCTCAACCTAACCTTCCCCTCCTCCAGACTTCCCCATTTCTGTTGAGAGCACAACCTTTCTCCCAGGGTTAGGAACCTGGGTTCCCAATCTTGCAGTAGCCCTTTGGTCTTCCTTCTCCTTCACTGTCATATCCATTAATTTTTTTAATTTTACTTCTAAAACATCTCTTGTGTCTGTCCCTTTTTCTTTATTCACAGGATCACCACTATGGTTTTTTGGGGGTTGGTTTTGTTTTGTTTTGTTTTTGGTCTAGGCAATGGGGTTAAGTGACTTGCCCAGGGTCACACAACTAGTTGTTTGAGGCCATATTTGAACTCAGGTCCTCCTGACTCCAGGGCTGGTGCTCTATTCACTGAATCACCTAGCTGTCCCAAGATCACCACTGTGAATGGAACCTTTATCACTTCTCCCCTGGACTAGTGTAGTCACCTTCAGTCTTCCACATCTCTCATCTACCCTTTATAGAACAATCAAAATCATCTTCCTAAGGTACAGATCTGGCAATGCTCAAAATCCTTATAAAGGTGGTTTTCTATTGCCTCTAGGATAAAATGAAAATTCTCTGGCCTGGCATTTAAAGGCCTCCACATTGTAACCTTAGCCTCCTCATCTAGCTTTAGTTCATATTACTCCTTCATATATATGCCACCTGCCAACTAAACTTATCTTATAGGCATCCCTTATCCCACCCTCTTGCTAAGTTCATGCAATTTATTCATCATCTTCCAATCCCTAATGCTATCATCTGCCAGTTAATCTCCAAAGCACTGTACTTCTTCAAAGACTTTAACCACCTGGCTTATAGTCTTTTATTTTTTTTTAACCACATCCTCATCATCCTCAGGGACTTCAGTATTCATATTGAGGGCCCCTCTAACACTCAGACTACAAAGTTCCTCAAATTCCTCAGTTGTGAAGACCTCCTTTCCTACTCCACATAAACCAAACCCTGATATTGTCACACATGCTACTTCACCATTTTAATGGAATTGTACTACCAGTAAGATTCTTGACTTTGAAATCTATTTTCTAATCTCAGAACTCCTAAGTCTGTGCTGAGGACAGAAACCTTTCCTGTACCAAACAGGAGGGAGAGGTAATAGAGAAATTCAGAGCAGATGATGTTTAGGGGCTTAAAGCCAGATGAAGCATATGACTGGCTGAAAATGGGCCAGAGACAGAAGGCAGTGTCAGAGATGGAAAGCAGGATCAAAACCAAAGGATGACAGTTATCTGAGAAGGAGTTTGTGGGACTTGCCTTTAGGACTTTCGGCTTACAAAGAGTACAGAAGCAGTGAACTGATAAGGAGACAAGGAATATAACTGTAATTTATTGCATTCAGGACTGCACAAATGTATGCAAATTTTAAACATGAACATGCATCAGTTGCACCCATGTGTCCAGACTCCTGTCTGCTTAGGAACTACTTGTGCCATCATTGCTCCCATTAGCTTCCATGGAAGCTATGAATAAGCAGGCTCAGACATCCCACTATCTGTGAAATTTATCAGGCAACACACAATAGCAACATGGAGTCCCCCAACCCTACTCATTCTCTCAGTCCATCTCCCCTAACTTTGCTTCATTACCCAACAATGACTCCATGGTCTGACACTAATCATTCATCTCCATCCTACAGTCCCTTTGTCCTCTGACCCACTAATACTTTAGCCTAGATAGCTCCTATTTGATTTGTCCACCTTGACCTTAGATTCCTGATAATCACTGGAGAAAGTCAC